CGTGGTCAGTGAGAGTGAGATGAGAGGGTTAGCACGAGTATCTCGTGCCTGATTTATTACAAGTGCACGTACAGCCGGACAATGGACTAATGAGCGGTTATTGTCTCGCTGGTATGAGCCATGCTTTCACCACAAGTCATTACCGGCGCGACGCGGTCACGTGATCGATTGATTCCTAATCTCGCCGGCGCGGCGCGCGACGCGGTCACGTGATTGGAATTCGAATTTGCCGCCGATTCAGTTTTTGCCGCGATCTTTACCAGTGAAGGTGCCTTGACTGTCGCGGGTCGGAGGAGGAGAGGAAAAGTATCGGTCACAAGGTAAATTTATAAAATTTATTCGTGTTCATAATGAGTAATCGATGTTATAATTAGCGTTGAATGTTATCCGCCGTATCTTGTCACGTATTCGCGTTTAAATCGCGATTCTTGCGTCGGACGAGATAGATCGGTTAGGCAGCCATTTTTAGAAAAAGACAAACGATTAAGATATTGCTCGTTATCTTGAATTTATCCGTTGCTATATTTAATTAAATCGGAAAAATAATGGCTACGAGATTTTTTCGTGATAATATAGCTTATCCTTCGTGTCGCTGGGATAGATTACGTATTCAAATAGGAGGGATCTGGAAAATTGATAACGCGTAATAATGGGATAGTCCTTATTTGTAATTACCGTGTAAGAATTTTTTATTACACAATTGTTATTTACATTTATTACTAATTAGTTGAACATAATTATACATGAATATATTTCGAGACATTTATCATTTATTATATATATAGTAATCACTTTTATGATACTCTCATTACGTAACAATCTTTGCAAAATTTTAGGAATTTTATATAATTTTTTTTGTACCATTCGTTTTTACCGCTAGAGTCATCTAGCGATAAAAATGTATATTACCGGCGTATTTAATTTAAATTTTCAGTTAGTATTATACATTTTTATCGCCAGATGGCCTTAGTTGGCCGTATGATGGTTTACAAAAGGTGTCTCAAATATCAAATGCCCCTTCAATTATTCATTCACTCGTACACACACGCAGATGATCACGATTCTAGTTTTCTCAAGAAAGTTAAATTTTGTAAAAATATTTTATCTCATTAATACATATTGAACAAAAATTCATAGAAAATCATTTTGATATACTATAAATTACATGTTTTTAATCCGATTTTCAATTCACGCTAATATTCTCGATCTTTAATCTTAAAAATCAAAATTTGCCACATCGTAATCCGTAAAGCCGTATTCTGTTTTCTGGATTATTCTAAGCAATTCCTTTGCTTGATCTCTCTCTCGTTTCTCCACAAAAATCTTATCTATCTTGATTAAATTCGGAATCATCATCAAAACAATACGTCTGTATTTTTTTCCCTCTTCATCTTCTCGAATTTTTCGTAAAAAGGGATTCTCTAGAATAATAAGCGTTTGTAGGCATCGTAAACAGCTTAGCTTCGCCAATTCTGAAATATTCGAGATCTTGTTATCGCGCAGATTTATGTAATTTAATTGCAGACATTGATTAGAGAAACCGTCCAGATTCGCGAGCTGGTTGCTTCGCAAGTGTAGTACCATCAAGTTCGGGAGTTCTCTAAGAGTTTCGATCTTTTCGATCTGATTCTTGGCCAGGAAAAGATGTGTCAGTGTGGGACAATGTATCTCTTTAAGGAGTAAAAAAATTAAATGTTCTGATGTTGAATCTGAGACGTTGAATGTCTTTGCAAGTCCGAAATTCTTTTTATTCTACTGAATTCTTAATTTTAGGAAATAGATTTTTAACATTCTTTTTTAATCCGTCTTACTTGCCGTAGTAGTTAGCGCATTGCCGCGTAATTCCAAGGTTAATAAGTTCGAAAGTATCTTATCTTTATCAAAGTCGATGGTGCTGATAAGATTGTTCTTTAGCTCCAGAACCTTGAGTAGTTTATGTGAAATGACAGATGTACCAGCATATGTCAGTCTGTTCTCGTTCATGGTGAGCGTCTGCATTTTTGAAATTATCTTACAATTAGTAGCTTAAATCTGTCCCTTCGTAAGATGCTTGGTAAAGTTTACGAAGATGAGGTCACCTGTAGATATTTCATCGGCCTTAATTCCGCGCTAATCAACTGGTTTTTATCCGCCAGTAACTCGAATAGATCCATACATTCGAGTACTCGCAATGCCTCTGATGTCAATCTGTTCCCCGATACATTCACGCGACGAACATACATGAAGGACCTAGGTATCACGCTCACATGCGTCAGATTTTTATTCGAAACGTCCAGACCTTTATAAAGGGGGAAATGTTCCATAGTATGCAAACATTGCCTGGCTTCGATTTCCGTCAGGGCGAGTGGTGTGTAAATCTCGCTTGCTCTCTCTTCCTCTTCCTCCATTTGTTTGCACGCATTAAAGAGCGAGATAGCTGAGAACGCATGTACGCGAATTCATATTATTTGTGACGATATCGTATGTAAAATTGTAGTGTTCGCGCTATTGCATAACTAAATATCAAAGACTATATGTGAAATGGCAAAATATTAATTGATGATTATCCCAATAACTATGATATTTCGTTTACAAGTATAAAATTTTGCAATAGTTATAAAAGCTTATTAAAGCTAATTTATAATAATATATATTAATGTAAGAAATACTTGCATTTTTTATCGTCGTTGAGCAAAAGAGCTGGTATCGCAAAATCTAGCCTTTCTTAAGTACAATTCGATGACATGTATCGATATGTATCGATTTCATTTCCAATATGCATAATTACAAGTATCAATTTGTGATTTTTAATACATTTATAGTTTGACTTAATTGAGTAAATTTGTTTATAATATAGACAATAAAACTGAATAAAATATTATTTAAAGGAAATAATTGTTCGATATATAATACGGGAATATTATATTAAAAAAATGATTATAAATATTGTATAATTTACGTTTGGGAATACAAGTATATCAGAGGAAAAAAGAATCGAGTTATTAATGCAGCTCTTTTTGCAAAGCATCGATCATGTTCCGTCTTGCAATTTTAAAAGAGGTAAAAATGCGATTTTAGAAATATTAAGAAAAAGTTTATTAGAATTTTATGCAACAGATAAACACATGTAACTCTTTTAGAACAGAAAAAAGCCTGCTATAGATCCAAGATTGATTAAAATCGAACAAATAATTGCATTTGCACATTACGCCATTTTTACGTCGCAAATAAAATACACAAAAAATATAAGCATATATATATATATATTATATATAAATCACAAATATTGTAATCGAGAAAACAAAGATATCTCTCGTCGATGTCTTGTCTCTAACGAGTCCTCACGCATCTAGATTCCTGCCACTGAACCCGTTGAGTGTCCTCCGCGATCCGTCGCTTCCGGTGCATGATTTCGCGAAGTTTTTTCAATAAGATAAAGTTGTCCCTGAGAATACGCGCCTGGCGTTCTCGCTCCAATTGCAATCTTTTCGCGTTGAACGAGACGTGAGGTCTGTCCTCCGGAGGTTTCATGTCTACGGTCGGTTTGGCTGTCTTTACCTACGAAAATGATAATATATACATATAATCGTAAAATCTGACAACGTTCTAGAAGGTAAACGTGTGACTAGTTTGGAGAAAAAAATAATATTTAATTCATGTATACATTATATATGAATTAAATATAATTATTTTTAAAATCTCTTTATCTTTCTCAGATATAATAAATATAGCACAGAATTATAAACATATTAATGATATTAATGATATTTAGCTATTATTAAATATTATTCTGCAATTGCATTTGATTGTCCCTACGACAATATCTGAGCTTTTATCGCATTCTCGAAGATTCCGAGAGTGCAATGAAAGCGACATTGATCGATGAAATATTGAGCAGATTCCATTAAAGAGGGAAAGATTTAAATTTAAAATTCACATGAGTACTCACTCTAGAACGATGACGCTCATACGCTCTACGTTGCCAGGAAGGCTCGTCTTCGCATAGTGTTCTTCCCCGGCTCGACATCCTTGCATATTTGATCGCGCGAGGATGTTTACAGTGTATAGCGCGAGTTTCCAAGTTTCTCTGGCAACGGAAACGTGATGATATTGATCTCCGTCGCATTTCGACGCGCGGAAACACGCAGAAACACGCGCACTTTATTGAGAGTCGAGCATATTATTAATCTAACTAAGAATTTCCGGATAATTATACAACCGTTTTTTTTTTTTAGATTTATAGGATTAAAAAAATCATTTTTATGTAAGGATAATTTTCATCATATAAGTAAATATTAATATATACATGTATGTCAAATATAAGATAAAATTGAGATCACGTAATTAATTAAATTTTTTTTATCTATATTCTGTAACTGTGATTACAAAATTTCAACACCTATTTAATTAGAATTTCTGAATTGATTGCTAAATTGAGATCGCAATTTCATAGATTTGATGTCACAAAATCCTAGAACGTAGATTTTCGTGAGTGAGATTGTAAATTAAAGAGATAAGATAAAAGATTTTGGCATTACTCGTACACACACATAGACACATATGTATTTATGTAGAAATGAGAGCGAAGAGCTAATCTCTCGAGACGATATAGGAAAACGGATCAGCGACGAACCATGTTTTTCTTTATCCTTCTCGCTCGAGCAGCATTTTACGCAGTCAACTGCGTGTCATACCCGTCCGTGTGCATCACACGTGTATTTTCTCCCTTCGTGTCGGGAGGTTGCGATTGGCGAAACCGCTGGACCAATGATGCACGACGGAAGGCGGAGATTTGCTCTCCTCGATCGAGACACGCACGTGAAATTCCTTTCACCACGCTTAATTATTCATGCGAATGATACATGTAAAACGACGCGCACGATTTCGAAAGAGACTCGCTATCGAAAAAATTCAAGATTTTTTAAGAAACACATTAAATCTTTTTCAGGCATTAAAAAATGTGCGTTCGGTAAATGTGTTAGTTGGTTGAAAAGGAAGATACAACTTTGTTAAGACGGAAAAATAGAAAGTAGAAGAGAGAATGGCGGTCACTATTGCGGCAAACAGAGCAATAAAACCAAATAAAACACAAAGCATCTATAGAACTAAGGTTTACCATTTTTAAATTGCGCTACGTAAAATATTGCGTCATAAAAGAAAAAAAAACCCTGCGAAGGTTAGCCGCTACTAAGAAAGTTTATCCTACCTACGGAAGTTAACAATATTTTTTGAGTCTTGAACACATCTTGTATATCTTTAGTAAGATATATTTTATTGTCTTATTATAACTCTGTTGTGTGTTTTTAAAAACTGGGAACGCATCCTTCTGCCAGTCGAAGAGTTTGCTTCCAAGAAACCAATGCAATAAAAAATGACGGTTCTTCTTCGTGGTTACAAATTACTTAGATTCTTAGTTTTCGTGTGATGTATTTATTTATTGCTCTTACGAACTTTCACAAAAAAAAAAGTGAAAACTCTCTGTATATAAATAGGAAATAAAACAAAGAATAATTAATAATAATTAATAATATAAATGTATTTTTATCTATTAATGTTTCTCTCTTGAGGGAACAATATAACATTAATCGCATCAAGCAACATATTTCGATCTCGTGAAAAACGGTCCAAATGCTACTTTCGCGCGATAATCACGATTCTCTACAAACGACAGAAGGAAGATGCGGGTGTCGTGCCCGCAAGGCAGCAGCCGAAAGATGCATCAACAGGCGTTGACCGCATGCGGTGTAAATTCGCCTTCAAGGGAGCTCGGGTTACCCCCGAAACCCCTGACGGGGGGTCCGGTACACCGGCTTCTCCTTCCTCTTTT